ATGCCCGCGAAGTCGTAATTCGCCGACAATAACGTTCGCGCACATATTGTAATAAATAATCATGTATAATATAATAGTGTAGTGCACATCGCATAAACAGCTGTACTTGTATAGTATAGCTTATTCTATCTGTATATAATATGGTACTGTTTTTGTTATTATTATTAGATTACCATATACCTTTTACACGGTTTGATCGCCACGGTGGCTTACATATTGTCATGTAGGTATATTAAAGTTCTACACCGCTCACTTCTCGGCTGACGACAAAGCACAACGCAAACCTCCGGTGATAGGCTATTTTTTTAAAACTCCTGTGTACACCGATCGTATTCGTTACACGCGTATAAATCACACTAGAGCAACGGTTCACAAACATTTTTATTCGCACACCACTTAAGTATATTATTATCAATTACCCGCGTACCTACCATTAATGATTAAAAACAGAACGATTGGAATTTTACATACCTAGTTATATACTTTTATAATAGGCAGTAAAACAGTATACAGTATATCAGGTATTATTCCTTTTTTATTATTTTAAAATGAGATTTGAATGAAATAACAACTTTTCAATGAGAACCATGGATTTGTATAGGTTTGATATTAGCGATGAAATATTTGGTAAATAATTGTAATTATTTTACAGATAAAATTATAACCATAGCTATTTCAGACACGAGTAAAATTATTTATTTTTGATTTTATGTTCTACCACTATAACGTGGCCTTTCTCGTACCACTTTTGGTATACGCGTACCACAGTTTGAAAATCGCTGCACTAAGGAGTATTAGAATTCTAACGCTTAAGCGTTATAATAATATTGAATTAATATAAAATATGAGTATAATAATAATAATAATAATAATAATATAACAACCACGGAGTTTGTGTTTTATTGCCACGTGTCAATTATTATTATTATTATTATTATTATTTTTTTTTTTTACGGTGATTTTTTTTTTTTGTCGGCGACAATATTTTTCACCGGAGATTGGCGTACACGCGGAAATTAGTTTCGGTAATTCGATTCGTTCCCACCGGAACTTGACCAAAATCATATTTTCGTACCATCGTTGCTAAAATATTATGTGTTTTAAATTTTGGACGTACATATTTTTCATCATGTCGGATTTCATTTTACATAATTAATTGACCATTCAAGGGAATTTAAAAACTCAGAAATGCCGACGGGTTTTAATAGAAATGAGTTTATGCACGTGGACAAAGTAGATTTTTCTATAAAAACGAATCGACATATTTTATGCGTTTATCAGTAATGTAATTAATAATTAAATATTTGTGGGTTTTGCGAAATGCGATAGAAATTTATAGAAGTTGAAATACATGTAAAAACAATTAAAAGTTTGCTGCAGTGTTTGATCTGTAATTTGATTTATTTGATTAACAATATTGGGTAATTTTCGGAAAAAACAATCAATATCATATTTACTGTGAAAAAAAAAAGTAAACAATATTCTAATATTCTCCGTCGATAATTAAATTAATGTGAAGCGTCCGTTTTTAATGTTCACTGCATAGTAAACGGTTCACTCAGTATAGCTTGTACTCCGAAGCTAAGCTAACCTAACCATAGAATGTATTCCGGCGAAAATCAATGATTATTATTACATTAACACAATTTTCAACGTATACGCCGATTCGTAGTATTACAATACTACATTTTACAACAATAGTCGTAGTAACTGTGATTGGACACAATTCGGTCGTAGTTTAGTCGTATCGGTGGAAAAGACGGGAGCGTTAACGTACAACGCTTACTGCACATAACGTTTAAATTTTATACTATACTATTACACTTGTAAGGATTGCGGCGAAGTATAATGATATCATAGTAATTTATCGCGACGCAAGAACGACATTTCATCTAAATTTGCTTTATACCTCAACGTGTTATGTTATCATTAAAGTATTAATTTATACACAGGTATAATGTATAAAGCTAATCGACGTCGACGGATACATCTAAACCTTATACCTACATCATCCGGATGTTACGGGATAGGTATTGGACGCATGTTATATATCATAATATCATTACATTAAGTACATTATATCAATGTAAATTTATGGCTTTATAGGGCTGTATAATAATCAGCGTTTTTCTAGGATTATTCTTACGTCGGTAACCTTCGTTTTACCCTTGCGTATTTTGGGTACACGGTGCTGGACATCAGCCATGTTTGATTTCGCACACGCCCACATGTGTGTGCCAAACCCCACCCAGAGGGGGTGAGAATTGAGAATGTGAGATATTACCTATTATTGTTATTATTATTATTTTATACACATACGATGTCGACGTGTGGCGTGTGAGAGCCAATTCTGACGCAGCTGCAGTTTTAATCGCACGCGTACGAATCGTACGTATAATAATAATAATAATAATAATAATAATAATCTAATACAGTAATGTATATGTGTATGCGTGCGTTTATGATTGTGTATGTGTAAGTGGAAAGACCAATATTTGTTTGGCTATTAATTAAAAACGGAGTCTCTTCGATGATGCTCGATTAAAACACTATATTATCATACCTATGATTATAATTTATACAGAGAGGGTGAAGTGAGCACGACGGGGATAACAATTTGTGTTTCTATTAAAATCGTATTATTTTTTGTAATTTTTTAAAAATATTTAAATATAAGTGTATACTAAATAATACACATATTTACTTTTTAATAAACGTCAGGATTAAATGGAGCAAAAATGTGATGGCAGGCTACTTGTTGATGATATTGAATTTATCAGAGAATAATTGGAAACTTTTTAGATCGTTTTTTTATATTATTTTTTTTTTATGCGACAGTGCAGGAGTATACTTGCGAAACGCCCTTTTTTTTCCAATATCTGTTAAAAGTAAATAACAATAAAACGACCAATGAGTTGACAAGGGTCCGTACGCGCAGCCACCGTGGTCGTCGCTATAGGGAAAAATCAAGAAGGTTTTTTTTTTTGTATTTCGTCGCTCTTTTTATATTCATAAAAGGGGGACACTTTTCTCCGAGAATATTGAAGGGAAGAAAATTAACGGGAATGAATAGCTGTTAATGATGGAACATTTTTCGAAACGTGATTTATTCGGGAAATGCGAAAAAAATGATTATATTTTTTTCGTGTTAATTTCGTTCCATTTATTTATTTAGTTTTTTTCCACTTGTAAAACTGTTGATGCTCACTGCCATCTTTTTTTTTTATGGACTGTTGAGGGATATATTTACATTTCAATTTTCAGAGCTTAAACGCATTATTTAAATAAATTTCATCAGGCGGATCGCAAATTATATCATACTGCAGCTCGATACGCCTACTATGTACGATGGGTAACTGTTATTATTCACACATTATTTTATGTGTTCGCGTAATAATAATTATTTATAATTCGTGAATTACGGCTGACCTAGATTTTATTTTCAATAATAATAATAATTAATAATTGTTGTTCGCTTATCGATGCGTTTGGTTTTTAATGAATTATCCGTACTTGACGCATTTGGTCATAAAAGAGAAAAATAACAATAAAACGTTGCACATATTATTGGCAAATAAATCAATTCATATCGTCTAAACAACGAGAGATATACACGGCTTTGAGGCGGTCGGGGAGATCACGCCTCTCGTCTACCGCTGATAAAGTTGCACTTCGGTTCACTGACACGGCCCGCGACTGTGTTCGAAGTTAAGCTGCGGTCTTTATCTTGTTCAATTAAATAAAGACTATAATAATATGTTTTGTATTGAATTTGTAATGAACATATCACACATATATAAATATATATAATGATATAGTATGTTATCGATACGTGATGAGACGGCTATTGTATGAGTGATGTAAACAGTTTTGTAAAGTGCACGTCGTCATCGTTGTACTAGGGAATATTATAATGCTTTATAATACATATTGCAGTACTTATATATTTAATTGTAGCGTATTATATAATTCATTATATCATAGCGGAGGATCGAACTTCGTATAGTTATGCATAAGAATTTTACTGCTAATAGCAAAAAATTCACTAAAAACGTAGAAAAAAATCAAACGGTTAAGTACTCAATTTTTATTTTTTATTCGTAAAAAAAACAAAGCCGGATGGTAATTCAATAAGTAAATACGTCGGCGTGACTATTTTGTAAAACTTATCGGTCGAAATGTATAATTAAAACTCCGTCACCGTTTCGGCTTTTAGGAAAATATATATATTTTTATTTCACCAATCCCGAAAAAGCACAACGGTAAATTTTTACGGGTAGCGGGTAGAAAGGCTTTTCAAAAAGTTTGAATACATAATAATATAAGTAAATGTGCCCGAGAAAATGTCGAACTGCAAAAAAAACGTCAACGACCGATAATGGGAGCGGAGTGGTGACAGGGTGAGTTCCACGCGACGATGGAGAGTTGTTTGACTGGGAGAGAGGGTGCAAATTGGTTGGATATGATTGGAAATTCGCAAGCTCGTAAGAATTAAAAACAATATAACAACTTTACTCGACTTTCTTATTGTGTTTTACTTTATCGTCCCAGCAAAATCAGTATATATATATATATATATAAATAGCGCTACAAGACATTTTGTAAAGAATTTTTTATTTTACTTTTCTTTGCAATCACGTCATCCCTTTATTTTTTGTTGCTTTCAAAAATCCATTTCCTATAATTACAGTTAGAAGAACAGTTATAAAATTCCGGCAATTTACGCCCCACACCCTGTTACAGGTGTAATACATAATTTTTTGCATATCCCATTTTCTGCTAATATAGTTTAGTGGTATAATTTTAAAAAATCCGGCGGACTTACGACTTGCATATCAAACACGCACATATTGCCTCATATTTTTATTATATAACATTACAGTCTATATTTACGGCTTTTTTTTTTTTAATTTTAATGCATACACAATACGAACGCGCAGTTTATTCAACATCCGAGTACACTATTTGCACTGAGTAATAATATTTTATCAATTAATTACCTGTATGTAGTCTGGTGTGCTGTTGGACGTGGCTGAGCTGTTTGAATCGGCGCTCGCAGTAGGAACACTTGTACGGCTTCTCACCGGTATGGACCCGAATGTGCTGGACCAGCTGGTGGTTAGAGCTGAACGACTTGAGGCACTGTTGGCACTGGTGCGGTTTGCTTACTTCCAGGCCACTGCCACTTAGCGAACTGCCGCCGATGCTGCCGGGCCGGCCGAAGTCGCGAGCCTGCATCTGCATGGCCGCCGACTTTTGCATGAATATCTGTGGCACAAACGAAACGTCCGTGAGTATAGGTACACGACGGGGGTGCGGACGATTGCCGTGGAGACAACGGCGGCGACGGATTTACGGTCATGGTATCGGCGATCGCGACGACAGTCATAATGTAATCGCGAATAATTGAAAAAAATTCTACACGTAAGACGAAAATGCTGCTGCTGCAGTTACTGCTACTACTGAACGCGGTGGCTGTGCGCCGACGGAGCCGGTTCGGGACCGGTATACGACGGGGCGCGTGACGAAAAGGGGGTACAACACATTATGTGTGTCAGCAGCCACCGTGGCAAAAGGATTGTGAGGGGGGGGGAGATGAGGGAGGAACTGAAAAAAAATATTGAAATACTCGTGTACGGGGTAAAATAAACACGTCGCGCATAGTATTAGGTCCCACGAGGGTTGGCACACCTGACGTTTTAAAACCGTATGCACGAGATCATATATGTGTATTATAACGCGTTGAAACGAGGGATTAATTAAAAAAATAAACCCCAAGTATAGGGTAGAATTACTAGGTTACAGACTTTTTTTTTTTTATTTTGCTCTAAAATATTAATTGAAATGCTGCTTTTTTTAACCCACTCGTGCGGTTAATTAAACCCGAGCAATTAAAAAATTATACTTCGTCGCCGCCTCCGCGTCGCTGCCGTGTCATCATCACCGGCCAAAGTAACACACTATTAACTATATTATAGATAAAAAACACAAACACATACAAAATACACACTACACACATATTTATAAACAATAGCTCTTATAGTAGATACAATACATTAAAGGGCATACTACATAATGTATAAACTATTGTACGAACACGGGTATCATGCGAGTGCTTTGGTCGTTTATACGTAAAATAAAATAAAATTGGCAAAAAAATGAGAAAAAAACACAAGACAACACTACAACAACTACGGTTAAAAACAATAAACCACTTAACATTGATTGCATTTTCTCGGCAACAGTGATGGCCGTAATTTATATATATATATATATATATATATATATATACATATATTTTTTTTTTTTAGTACCGACTGAAAGTATAGTGGTAAAAAGGGGTAAATCCATTACAGACACTTAACGGAGCCGATGTGATTTTTATGGATTCCGACGATGATTAAAAACTATTTTTTATTCTCTCGCGCCCGAACGCCGTTTGACTGATATCCGAACATTTACACGACGGTCGACGCGGGTTGCAAATAAGACAAGGAACAGAAAAGAAAAAAAAATTAAAAACTGACGGATGGAAATTCATTTTAATATTATTAATTTTGATTTACGCTGTACTCAATGACGTCTTCCGCGGAACACGAACACACACACACACACACACACACACCCCACGTGACTGTATGATCACCTGCAAAACACCACCACCACCACCGCTCACCTCCGTTACTACAGTAGTCGACATAAGGTCAACATAAGATAATGTCTACGGTGGTTTGAAACACCAGGTGATAGTCGTAACGGGAAAAAAATTTAAACAAACAACCCTTTCGGAAACCCGTCAAACACGACTAATGAACACTAATGAACTATACAGACAGACACAATCCATCAACCCCTTCGACGATGCGTATCAGTACTGAAATAATAATGATTATTATGACAAAAAAAATTTTAAAGAAATCTTCTGATTGATTAATACCAAACGCATTAACTGCAGTACTATAAAAAAAAACACAGGCTTGCTGCAGATTCACGGAATGTACGGGCAATAGGCCGAGGATGTTAAATTATAGTTATGACTCGCTCAGACACGTCGTCATTCATCGACGACGTAAATACTATATATTAAATATTTATGTCTATTATGTAGCTGACCATCACTCGGGTCAACGCACCGAACGATGATAACGCTTATCGTGTTGAGGTTGGTCAGTGTTAATATCCACGCAGAGGACAAAACAAGTATATAGGTGCGCACACATAATATGTATGATATATTATGCATACAATAATAAAAGATGACAAATTGAAAAAAAAAATAGAAAATAATTTTGTCCGAACAACTTGGTGGGGGGTCTCGTGTGTTTTTTGGGTTTCCAAGAGTCGGGATGACGATAGCGAGCAGCGAGTGGAGGGATTCGGGTTCACGACCGGCCGGAGTATTATAATTAGAAATCGTCTAAAAATAACGGACAAGGACGCGGAAGGAATCTGGGCGAATTGTGACGCGTCGCGGAAGACAAGAAGACCACCACAGTCTCGCGTCTGATTGATTTCTACCGGTGGCCGGCACGACGATAATAATATTATAAACACAGCGAAACCTCTGAATACTGGACACCCTTGGTCACTAAAATAATTTTTCCGTTATTCAGACGTGTCCCCGTCGATGGAAGGGGTTCAACTGTATCATTGCCATGCAAGTCGAAATTAATTGATAAACTGTAGTAGGTCTGTAGACGGTTTGAACGTATCGGTTCTTGAAATTTGACCTAACCTTAGCACCCGACGGAAACGCGAGTAGAACGCGCGTTACACCGCGGCCGTTGGCCACATGTCGGCGCGCGAGACTGATGCAACTGTTGTGTGTGCACTATAAAGTGTGCGTAGGCGTGTGTGCGGAAGACCTTATTGGTACTCAACGGCCGCGAGACTGAATAATAATAATAATAATAATAATAAAAGTAACTAAAATTAAAAATAAAAGTAATCGAGAGAACAAAAAAAAAAAAAATTATATAAAACAAACATACCCCGGCGGCGGCGGCTGGTTGACCCAGTTAAATCGGTGTGGTTAGAGCGTGTGCGGCGGCAAAAATGTAAAAATATGTAGGCGCGAGTCGCGACTATTGCGGTGTTACTACTCACTTTGAGCTGTAAGTCTAAACAGTTGAATTTCATGATAATTCCCGCGGACCATCAAAACGACCGATTTTTTTCTCGCGTTTGTCCGGACGACTTTGAAACGATAAAAAAAAACAACGACTTTGAAACGATAAAAAACAACGTATTACGTACACCGCACAAGTCGACGAATACGTTAATTGTTGCAAAAAAAAAAAAATTAGATCATCGGCGTAAACCACGGCGGCGATGATTACATCACGGCCCGGCGGAATTCGCGGTTAGACGCCGCCCGCGGTTGTTGGACGAACGAAGACGCAGACAGTACTGTACGTCGCGCCGCCACCGCCGACGTCGGATATTAGCCTAACCCAACGTTGACTTAGGTCGGGAACTTTACATATGTGCCGTGTGTGTGTGTGTGTGGGTGGGTGTGTGTGTACGTGTGTTTTAGAGTGTATATTATAACTGGTGTGTTCTCTCTTTATCGCATCGCGCGTATACGTCACCAGACGTTTAACGACCTCGCGGCGAATCCGAACACGACGACGACGATCGCCCGCCACAAACCATTTGAGATTATCGTAATCACAAGAATAATAATAATAATAATAATAATGATAATAATGATAATAATGTTTAATTATTATTAAAATTTTTTATTAATAACGCGCCGTGCGGTGTTTTTTTTTATACGTCTCAACACCGTATAATAAGACGTTGTAAATTATTATATTATTGCGTACCTATCTATATAACATTACGTCGAGTGAGCGATATAATATTATGCTCATTGCGGTTCGGGTTTTTAGCCGATAATAGACTTTTATTTTTTATATTTTCATCGCGTACGACGACGCGCGCCGCACGGTTTTTGGATTATTTGATTTCGATCGGGAAAACACTAAAACTCACCGGGAGGGGGAGGGGAGCGGCAGAGTAAAACGCGATAAATTTGATTTTCATCGGAGATTTTGTGCGCGCCACGGTGCGTGCACGTGGCGTTTTTGGCCGCCCGCGAAATCAGATTACAAAATTGTATATAGGTAATAAAAATCATTTTTTTTCTTACTTTCGAGGGTTGGGCGGTGCCGTCCGCCCCGGGGCCGCTCGACAATACTATAGGTTTACCTATTTTGTATACTATATATTATTATAAAATATGTGCGCGCGCGGGATTTTCTTAGCAGAAAAATAAATGCAGTGGCGGCGTTTTATTTATGGCCACATTCGTAGTTCTCGCGTGCCGCGTTCGAATTTATTTCTTTCGGAAGCCTCGACGACGTTTTTCGTTTTGTTTTACTACTCGCATTATAATATTATTATCATTATTATTATTGTTGTTTTTATTATTATTACTATTAAGTATTTGCGTATGAAATTGCCGGGTCCGAAGTGCCGCCATTGTGGTACACCCCCCTACCAACCATTAGTATCGCTAGGTGTTGTTTCCTCGGTCCGGCGATTTTAAGGCATTGTGTTCTGAGTAGGTTTTTAATTATTTTCGATTATTTTATTTTATTTTTATTATTTTTTTTTTTTTTTGTTCGATACAATTTTTCATTGTTTTACAATAATAGGTTTACGCGTACCGCCGCCGCCATCAGGCCTTCGGATTTCGGATCGCTTCATGAGTCGGCTTCCGCCGGCCAACGTGATTCGAATGCACGCTTACTACTATAGGTACAATAATTTAATACTAAAAAAATGTATTTCTCGTATCATTGTTTTCTCGATGGAAGCAAAAGGCATGTTAAATAAATGACTAAATAATATTATATATGGATATTACACGGACAGGAGTTAATTAAAATTGCGATATTTTTCAAAACGTTTGCATTCAAATGTAGTATACGTAATAATAATATAATATAATACGTAGGTATATGCCTGACCGGTGGCGGCGATCCACGACCGGCCGAAATGGACCGGTAAAACGAAAGCCGAAAATTATAGTTTGTATCTTTTAATACATTTCCATAGATCATAATAGATAAGTGATATCATTATACATTTTAAAATAATATACGACTACGAGTAACTTTATACTATAAATGACTTGATTGCTACATATTTTTTAAGGATATAGCTTCAACAATGAATTTACATAGAACCCACGACGGTTAATGTGGGAATCATAAATATCATATACCACCTTAATTACTTTATTAATTTAAATAAGTTTTAAGCATTTAGTATTTATTTTGAGAACTATGTGAGTCAACAATTGCTGAAGTACATAATATTTTAATGTAATTAGTAAATAGTGCTTATTAACTTTTACTGGTTAAACTGATAAAATGTTTTAAATCAAATTAACATGCAATTATTAATATTTATAATTTATCTATTTGATTTCAATTTTAATTACGTGTCGTATGTACACGAAACCATTCGATTAGTTTAATTCATATTTACTCAAACAAATTAAGATAAGATAAAACTTAAGTAAAAAAAAGAAACATTTTAATACCGTTTTAGTGGTGTTTTTTTTTTTAAAATTTTAACCGTTGTAATACCGTATGTAAGAGATATGATTTTTTTTTAATCCTCTTGTTAATGAAAAAAAATAAACCGGATTGTCCCTGTATGCAAGATAACAAACTGGGGTTTCTATTTTATAAAACAAAAGGACCGGGTAAAAAAAAATGAAATAATTTTTTAACAGCTGCTAACGGTACTTTCTCACGGTTTCAAAGATGAACTACCGTGGATGGACTTTCAATGACTTTTATACAGACACATCGGTACGCTCGTATATCGCTCTAATTAACCTTGTCCGTGGCACATGTCAGCGTCATGTCTTCTTGGAGGAAACCTTGACGTAGTGAAGTAGTTATAATATGAAGGGGGAGAGGTAAAAAAAAAAAAAAAGAAGAGAATTCATTAATTGAGTTTGGACGGCGAAATCAAGATAGCGGATGGATGTATATTTACATACAAAAACACAATCGGACTTCATACGACTATTGGAGCTATAAGAACGAGAAGATGGCGGGGCGGTGGTGGTGGCGACGGCGGCAGCCGCCGCTGTTACCGAACAGGAGTATCTACCTATCCTTTGTTACGACAAAATGGTTTTAATTGACGTTATGCAAAACTTATAAAGGGTCATCGATCCTATATACGTAACAGTAGAAAAATGGAATATTTTAACCCGAAGATCTCTATCTCAGGTAGTATATTATTGACGAGCGGCTTTGTATTGTTCGGTGAGTGGTTTTTATTTTATTTTCGCTCAAAATCCTCTAATTGTTAAATTCAAACGAAATTTAAAAATAAGTTTAATAATAATATTAAAATACAATATTACATGGACGATTTATATGATACACCATATTATAAATATATATACATATCTATAATATAATATATATTTATATGAGTGTATGGTATGTAGTTCGTGGGTAAATAATATGTTTTCTCGTGATAGAACCAAATGAGCAGCTCGATTTTTTCCACACGATTGCCTGCAAAGGGTATTTGTGTGTGAGTGTGTATTGACAGGAGACGTCCGTAGGTAGAACGGTCGCGTGACCTGGAGACTTTTATAATACGGTATTTTTCTTGGTATATTTTTAGTGCTCTCACTCCACCCACTCTTGACTGATATAGATTGTAATACATACATATACAAATAAACAATACCTATATGATGTGTTGTACAGTACACAAAAATAATATCGAAAGGAACGTGCAGTAAACAAATTTCAGTTGTATTACAATAAAAAGCTATTTTGACTTTTCAGGAGGGTAATAAAAACATGCAGGCGAAAAGTGAGCAAAATAATAATGATATAATAATAATAATAAACAAACAAAAATTCCATACACACCACACACACGCATAAAACACACGCTATTCGTTTGAAATAAAACCATAAACAAAATTAAAGTTCAACAAAATACTAGGTATTATTATAAAATTGTTATATGTAAAAATATAGCGTACTGAACGAAAGACGTTCCAGCTGACTCGCTGAAGAGTGGACCAGCATTCTTCAAGAGTGCGGTCTGATATCGATCGGTTCTGCACATGGTGAATCCACAATAAGCAGCATTAAAAAAATAATAATACACAAATGTATCTTTTTTCTTTGGTTAGAGTCAAACGAAAACACATTATAATATTAGTAACAAAATATTTTTATTTATACAGGACCAACTACATTGCGTACTGCTTACAGAGTACTACAATAATTGGATAGTCACGACTCGGTTATTATTTAGTTTTTTAATCGATAATAATAATATCGTGAATTAATACAATTTTTCTTATTTTATAAATTTCTAATTTTTATTTATCTAGTTATTTTTTTTTTACTAGTATTATTACATTGTTTTAAATTAATAATACATATAGTTCATTATTTTATTTTGACCGTTAAAAATTGTGTTAGTAATTAATATTATCGTTATAATATAATATTATGATTTTTATGCATTTTTTATAATTATCTATATTTTTTTTCGAAACACGTTTTTCAGATACATGTAATTTGGCTTCAAATCGGCTAAAGGGGTTGTGACTCGTGTTGTGTTCACGTGGTCACTACGGTTTGGTGTCGGTATCGGCGGCAAAAAGCTCGGAGCGAAGAGCGCGCCACCGCACACAGTAGTTCACTGGCAGAAACGCGCAGGTCCTTCCCATTTCCTTTTGCTCCTTCATCCTAAACCGAGTTTCCTTATGTTTTCCTCCTCTATATTCTTCATACTCTCACCCACCCACAAGTTTTTTTCACTGCGCGAGTTACTCCTATTTTTTCGTAGGCAAAATTTTCGGCCTTAAGTGGTTTCCTCCTCATTCCATATAAAAGTAAAAACTACAATTATTCTCAATATTATATTATTATTTCTATAACATAACAATTTTAATTGTTATAGTTATTTATGATAATATGAGTTTTTTTAGTAGGCTTTAAAAATTGTGTCGAAACTAAAAGAACGACGGCGGCTCGAATGGCCAGTCAGCACCCCAAAAATATAAAAAATAAACTACTAAGGGCTACCCCATTTCGAAATACCCTATATATTAATAGGGGTCGCGCGTGTTGCGCAACACCTCCTGGCGACCATCCGGTTGTATAGCCCGTGCTCAAGCCGGTCGACCGGTTTTTATAAGGTTAGACATTCGAGAAAAAAACTACCCCCGCGGCTGTTTGAGCAACAATGACCACGGCACATTGGTGTACCGTGTCCAGTCGTGAACTTCAATTTCACAATTCAACATATTAATTTTTACATTAAACATGGTCATATTTTTTTGGTATTTAATTGTTTTATAATTTTATTTTTAATTTAATTTTGTTATTTTTGGTCAACAGTGCATTTAATTTGTAAGTTTTTAGTTATGTTTTACATACTTTTAACGCTTAATTAGTTTGTTTGCTATTTTTCGTTACTTTACCTACTGTGCAATTAGAAAAAAAAATTATTTCGGTATGCTTTAATTTTTAATTTGAAGACTTTCAAGAGGAATAAAGCCAACAGCCTGTGTTTGGCACACCATTTTATATATATGCATATTACTTATAAGTTTAGAGTAGAAATTTATTAATTCATTAAAGTTCGCTTCAATGGAATAAAATACTTCAAAATTTTAACTTCTGATTGAACATAAAAATATTTTTGGATATTATAAAAATATATATAAATATATTTAACTTACAAAAATTAACAATAATGGTTATAAGATTAATAACATTAACTGTCAATATACTTATAGTATTATTGTCAAAATTTATTTTTTTAAGTTTTAATAATTTTATTTATATATTGTAGCTTTATTTAAATAGTTTACAATAAATTGATGTCATTTTGAACTAAAATTTTTTATCCTATCTGACACATTTATACAAATTAAATAAATATTATTATGGTTTGTGTTATTTTATTTATAAACAATTATAATTCACATTCACTTAATTTCAAATGAAATATAGTATTAATAAAATAATTGGGAAAATTAGAGAATATTTATATCTTATAATATTATGAACATTTAAGTGTTAATTATTTTTAATAATTGCGATTAAGCGACGAAATTAAATATAATATCTTCGGCTTTCGCCTATCATTATTTTTACACCTATATGTCGCTTCTAATTATGTTTTTTTTTATTGGCCGTCATCAACTATTTCTATTTGATATTATGCCAACAATCTGTTTTGTATTAATATTATTTCAGTGCATTTATTTTTTTTTACCTCTGTATAATTTAATTTTAAAAATAAAGATGTGTTTTTTTACTTATTGCAATCCAAGTACACGTGCAGGTTTTTTTTACTTAAAAATAATATTTTTTTTGAAACAAATTTGTAAGTGGAATATTTTAAATAAATATAATATGTAATATTATGAACAACAAATAGAAAAATCACTTTGAGATAAAACGGGAAATTTAATTAAATATCTTATTCATTGATGTTTTTATAAAAAAATATATTTTTAAAAGTTTAAAATACAAATTCAATAACACATTTTGCAAAAATAATATTGTGAGTGTTATTTTTAAACATATAAAAATTACGAAAAACCATTTTTTCAACTACGAAAAATATTATTAATATATTTTTTTTTAGTGATATTATTTTATTTTATTCGTTTAATTTACTTCTGTGAAAATTTTTTCTATTTATAATTTATTTTAATTTATTATAAAACACAATAGGGTATTATTATAAAAATATGTATCTACCTAACATATTACTTTAGTTGGAATAATTAAATTTTCAGTTTGTAAATTTTTATGTTTTTAAATTATATTATTTTGAGACAAAACTACAGGGAGCATTATCAATCATAAAAAAAAAAAAAAAAAAAAAATTATATTAATCGTTTTACGGTGGAAAACATATTCTCTATCAAAAAAAGTAAAATCTTGCAAGTTTATTTTCCCCATATTATCTTCACTGTTTATAGCTTTTTTAAGTTTTTAAATCCAATTTCGTATTAGAATTATTATGGAAATATTAATAATAATAATAATAATAAAAAAAAAACTGAATAAAAACACTTGTCGACGAATAAATTGTTATCGTAACGAGAAAACGGGTTATTTTTTTTTTTTAAATTGCGGACATAATATCAACTATTGGAGTTACGAGCGGAAATAAAATCGACTCACCTGTAGTTCGCTGACCAATTTTTCGGTCATCATTTTCGGGTCGCTCAGCACGAGCGAATTGTTCTGGTTGATTACTACGGATACGGACGGGTCGCCGGGGACCGCCGGTTGTCCGGCCAGTCCGACGGCTGCCGTCGAGTCCTGCTGCTGCTGTTGCTGGACGGCCGCTCGGATGGCCGCCGGCGACGGTTGTCCGACGATCACGTCCGCATCGTCGGTCATCTCGGCGTTTTGCGTTTGTTGTTGTTGTTGTTGTTGCTGCTGTCGTTGTTGGTGTTGCGCGACTTGTTGGGCGACCATGGCGATCGCCTCGTCGGCCGTCACCTGTACGCTGTTCGTCGTCTGCTGCTGTTGTTGCTGTGGTTGTCCGACCACGGCGAGGGACGACGGCACTTGCTGCTGGTCATGGTTGACTTGCAGCGTGGGCGGCGGTGGCGCCGTCTGAGGTTGCGGCGACGGCGAAGTGTCGACCGCCTGCTGCTGCTGCTGCTGTTGCTGTTGCTGCTGCTGCTGCTGCTGCTGTTGCTGCTGCTGCTGCTGTTGCTGCTGCTGTTGCTGCTGCTGCTGCTGGAGTTGCTGCTGGTGCTGGTACTGTTGCCGCTGCTGTTGCCAAAAATCCGCGGCCGGGTTCATCTTGAACACCGGCCGTTGCAGCAACACGGACTGCTGTTGCTGCTGTATGTCCGCCGACATTTCGTCGTCGTCGTCGCCCTGCAGGTGTTCGTGGCCGGGCGAGGCGCGAAGATCCAGCGGGGCCGAAGAGATCGTTTTGACTGATGTGAAGCAATCCGATGATATATTCGTTCTGTTCGCACGCGTGTCCAAACGACGGTCGTCAGACGCGGTGGTGGCAGCGGTGGAAGTGGTAGCCGCAGTAATAACAACAGTGGTGGCCGCACATGACGCGCGTAAAGTCCGTCCGGAAGCGACGATTATTCACTCGATTCGTACGACTATATACGCGATTGCGAAAAGAGAAAACGTAATTATTTTTTTTTCCTTCGGATCTGTAAAAAATAAGAATAAAAAAAAAAAAAAAATTGTTAACTCACTCGGGATAAAAAAATAAGAAATAAAAACCAAACGTGTTTTAAAACTCCGTAATATAATATTTTCTTTTTGTGAAAAAAATAAGAATAAAAACCGTACCGGCGCGTGCCGGACGAGTGGAAAAAAAAAAATTTAAAAAAAAAAAATTTAAAAATATGACGATGATATTATATGGGCAGCAATAACAGTAATATAATAATATATTATCGTCGACGAACCGTGTGCGTGAGGAGACGGAGAAAATATCGGCTAGCTTCGTTCGCGACGACACTTGCAGAACTTCGCGGGCATATAATATTATTATAAAGTCGGGTGAGACGATGTACGTATGTGCGTGCGTTTACGCCTGTGTCGGTAGTCGGGCACCTAAGGTGTTCGCGACGCCGGAGTAGTCTTGAGACTGAGCGACGTCTCAAGACGCCGGGCCGGAAAAACGTCGGCTGTACGAAGCGCGGCGGCGAACTGAGCGCGCGCGTGTGTGCGTGTGTGTGCGCGCGCGTGTGTGTGTGTGTGCACTCGCGGCGGCGGCGGTGGCGGCGTCTTGTGTCGGCGTCGCGGCGCGACTGAGGAGATACGCGGCCAAGATGTCTTGGAGTCGCGGACATATCGCCGTCCCTGTCGGTAGCGTGTGCCGGCCGCCGCGCGCCGTCCTTTTCTACGGGCCGGTGCAGCGCGCAAAATAGGGGTCGGGTTTTCCCTCTTAGGAAGAGCGCGCGGTACGCCGCCAGACGTTTTCCTTACGTGCGTATTTCTGCGCCGGCGTCCGCCCCTAGCGCTCTCTCTTTTCTCGGTCGCTCGTCCCACCCCCGCCGACGACGGCGGCGACGAAGAAGCGACAGGGGGTGTGCGGCTTTCCCTCCATTCCACCCTTGTTCTTATTTTTTCGTTTTTCGTTTTTCGTTTTCCCGCCCCCCGGCCGCAGCCGACCCGGTGCCTTTTTTCCGCTTCCCGCCACCGCCCGCCCACAACGCGCTGCACGGTTTTTCCGTTTCCTTTCACACCGTCTTCGCGCCCGACGCGACACGCTACTATTATATAATAATAACAATAATAATAATAATAATAATCGTACACGATATAATTACGTATATGTGTGTGTGCACAACGTCCGAAAATTATTTTATTATTTTCTCATATGTTGTACTCTCAAATTTTGGATTGGGTACCTACTACCTATACGTAAAAATATGATCGTTTTTATTTTTTCAACGCGCGTGTTTACATATAAATAATATGTGTATAACGATATTTCTGTCGTTCAGTTGCGTAAAGGTTTAAATCTGAACGTCTTGACGGGTAAGGCGAAAGAAAATTCATAATTCCATAGCCTATAGTATTAGACATTTATAAAAAAAAAAAAAAAACTACATATACTTTTACGTAACTTAGTAGGCGCGTATAGACTATTTTCGTGAGTTCGTGACGTGATAATCGCTTAAATCGTTTTGTTCAATTTTTTTTCGTTAAGATTTTAGTAAACTTTGACGACGTTAAAACTCGTTTTCGTTTGTTCTGAACGTTTTGTCGCCGTCCGGTGGCGCCGCCTTACGGACTCCCTTCCCGAATTTAACCCTTCCGCACCGAAAGGGTTGATGCGTTTCCCATTTAGCCCGGAAGATATCGTTGTGACTGCCGTTTTGGTACGATAACTATTTAATTAAATCATACGAGGAAACTTTCGATATTATACTTGTAACACCACGGCGCTACTTATAAAAATAGACGACGTAAATATTAAGATAAATACAAAATTATATGTGAGTAAAAAACCAAATGATATGTATGTTTACCGGTCTATAAGCATAAACTCGGCGAATTCGCGTTTTGTTTTCTTTATTCATATTTGGGTAAAAGTTTAAGCACACGTAAATATCTGCGTATATCCGTTATGATATATATATATATATATATATATATATATATTTTAAAAACCTAATAAGTAATCAAAAACAAACCCTTGAAAAATGTGCGATAAAAATTGTCATACATATTGTCATGCACTTATGTACGGCTAATCATGGTGCCGATGACAAAACTCACTCAACTGAACAATAGCGATAATACTCACGTTTAGTTATTACTATTGTGAGTTACCTTTGAAATGAAAATAAAACGCTAATTTTAATTATATTGTACATCAAGTGAAAATTTGAGCAAGAAAACCATCTTTATATGACTTTTTATGTATTAAAAACGTCGATTGATTGATCACCTAAATAAATATAGAACGCGTGGCACGCGTCCACGAATAAAATTGAATAACAAATATTGAAAAAATAAAATATAAATACAAATACAAATACTTGCTAATAACATTACATAAAAATACTGTAATAACATATTGATATTTTTATTCTTGACCTAAAAACAGTCTAAGTGGCTCGAAGCAGTTTCCGGGTTTTTGAAGTAGGTAGATGATTATAAAATGCGCAGGAATAAAATATAATAATTATTATTAATTATGCATTTGTACTGCAGTGTACATTATTGTAATGCATTTCTGATAAAATTACTGCAACATTTATTATCTAACTCGCAGGGTCAAAGATTTTTTCCTGAAATGTTTGTTGATATAACTTTTTGAATAAAAATGTGCAATAAAATTATCATTTGAAATAAAAATATGTTATACTAATTTATGTATTTTACATTAATAATATATCATATTATGTAAAAAAAAATATCATATTCCACACAATAATAAGGTCAGTACAGTTTTATTTTATTCATAATATATTTATCAAATTCTTTTTTTATTTATTTTATTGTATAGAATGCCAATTGACAATAAACAATTTAATAAAATATTTTTATACTCTTTTCGTCTTTTCGTCATAATAGTTTGTTAAATTTTCTTAACATAAAATTCTAATAAAATAATTAGTTTGTTTAATTAAATTCATGGGCATGTTGAATTAAAAAAAAAAAACCTAAATATTCAATTAATGTATACGTGTACAAATTTAATTTTTCCATAAATATTACTGAATTGTTCGCTTTCAACATTCCTCATATCGCAAACAATGTAAATGATAACAGCAGGTAGGTGTTACCTACTTGTATATTGATACATATTAAAGTCATTTTAAATTTTAAATTCAAATACATTAAGACCGTTCAGTATAAGTACACGAATTCCGGTTATTTGAATTTTAACATAAGTGGTTAAACGGATAAATAAATGAATAATTTTTATAAAATACAACGTATAATTATTGCAGAAAGCATCATAATTTAAATTTTTGATATACAGAGTAAAAGTACATAAATAGATAAATTGCATCATTTTTTTTTTTTTTAAGGTTAAATAATAGCTAATAGCTGAACTTTGCTTTGAAGATGATTAGTACGTATCAGATTATTTATCTCGAGTGAAAATATAAAAAAATAATATCTATGGAAAACTCTGGTTCAATAAATTATCGCAGAGTAAATAATTGTTATCATAAGAGCATAATGCTAGTTTGTTTAACCTTTAACGCAGTTAATGAAATCACCGATTGCACTGTTGGCGTATTGAATAGAGCACTCCACTATAGCACTTGTGTATCTCAGAAACACAACGGTTAACTAGGAAAAAATTAGGTTCAAAAATATTAAGTACCTAAGCTATTTTAATTTTGATAATTATTTAGCATTTATTTGCAAAATAAGTACGTAATTGTCATTATTATAAAAATAATTTTTTTTTTTTTTTTTTAACATACCAATATGAAAACAGCAAATAGTAATAGTATAAAAACTAATAAACTATATAAACAATTTAATCTGTTAAAAAATATGAAAACGATCAGCGTTAAAAATACGTTTAAGTTATATAATTTCGTGTGCATATTCGTATATGTAATGTTATGTTGTTCAACGCAAAATATTTAGACAATCGGTGATTCGTAAATATTATAAACGCAATATTTTCGCCTCGTAAGCGCGTACGATAATAATATAATATAGACGCGCGTGTAAAACGGGAAAAGTCTGTCGCCAGGTGCGTGGCAAACATGCGACGTCTAATCCGACGGAAAAAAAGGGATGACCATCAATGGCCATTAATAATAACAAAAACTAGTATTTCTATGCGTGCGATGGAACGAGCGCGTGCCTGATTATACGCATGTAAATAATAATATATATAAAAAAAAAAAAAAAAACGGCCGAGTACTTATTATATTATTATTGTTTTCGGGCAACTGCCGCCGCGCGGAGAGGGATCCGCTCGCGGGATACGCGGACGGCAAAGGTTAGGCGCATATACTTATGTGATGTATTGCCGCGCCGTGTCCCGTGTTCGGTCAAAGGGTCAACCGGCGGCTGGTCGCCCCTCGAGGGGGGTGCCGGGAGACCGTTGTCGCTTGCAGCTGGCCCGCGGACATTTATGAATAAATTCGCGGGCATCGCGAGCGCAGCAGCAGCTGATGTGCAAGCGTATAATATTATATAATACGTGATATTGTACAAGTCGTCGCGGGTCGGCCGCGATGATGACCCGCGATCTTTTGTTGTCCGCGGCGGACGTAAATGAAATAATAATAATGAAAAAAAAATATGTATAACGAAAACATTTACGGCATTGTTTAACGAGAGAGAGAGAGAAAGAGACATTGTGCGAGCGGTGAGAGAGTGGCGAAGAGGAGAGAAAAAAAGGTCGTCGCGCCGTTATAGCCCGGCATTACGTGTATCATATATACAATAATTATGACCTCGGGGCAACAATCCCTTCGCGGCTTTTTGTTGTCTTGTCGCGGACACTACGACGACGCGTGCTACTCACCCCGTTAAACCCGTCGGTGGAATATCGCGATTTATTATAATATTGTATAATATGATTATGTTATATTATATCCCTCGCGGACCAGGTGTGTCAGGTAGGTACTTACATATATATATGTGTGTGTGTGTGTGTGTATACGTATTATTTACAAGGCGAACGTTCGCGCGCTTACAGCAAGCACGCACGCACGCGGACGTCCAGCTGCACGTCAGTTACCGCTCTGGCCCACCCCTTAAAAAACGTTTACCCCTATCGCGTGGTAACCCTATTTATTATTTTTTAATTTCGACGACGGCGCTAATTAAACACACCGGCCGGTCACGACGACCATCGAGCGCGCGAGTCCCGACGCGTTAGCTGGTTTTATGTCGTGGCGACGATGACGTCGACAAATTTTTCAGTCCACTTTACTGTGCCGCCGTATAATTGTAATAGTTTTTAACGTCGTTTAACGGATAATTTTTTTTGTAACGAAAGGTAAAATTAAAAGGGTGTCGTTGTTATTTAATTATCGCGACGATATTAATACGTTTACGTTTATGTCGTCGTCGTTGTTTTTTTTTTTTTTTATGTAAAGTTTAATTATTTCAATTATTACAAAATCTGTAGAGAAAATTTATGGCGTTATGAGTTGAGGTAGGTTTATCGTATATTAAGTTTGTAATTTTATTATACTGCAGTTGAGACTTAATTATATACCATTTTTAAATTATAAAAACGTTTAATTAATGCATTAAACACAATCGCACGCAAACGATCTTGTCCAAACATAATTT